GTATTGTTAAATCAGTCGTAAAAGTAGTGATTATTAAGAAGTAGTGAGTAAAGCTTTACAAGAAGGAATAAAGGAATATAACAGTTTAGGATGCTATTTAATACGAATAAATATCAGAATACAACTCTGATTCCATAAGCTTCGTTTGTAACTAGGTTTGCGAGACAACCAATAGATCACATATCTGAGATCTATTCACTCTATTTCGTTAAAGTGAAGAGGGACAAAAAGGAACTAGTGGTAGTGCGGCATAGTTGCTATGCCGAAATTATACGCTGCACTGCATTGTTTGATTCTCGCTGGGGATGTTGATAAGACCTAAGCGAGGTCAAAACTGTAGCCCACCCCTGCCTGGATGATAATATATTTTGGGAAGCAAGGCAATGGAAATGTAATTGAAACATAGGGCCTACTTATATGATTTTAGAAAAATATAACTATTAGTCCTTTATTACCCAACAAAATAGAGTAAATAGATTTCATATCAATACCTTCGTATTTGGATATCTACGGTCGTCAACCACGAAAAGGCGCAGAAAATTTCATTGTCTGATAAAAGAAAGTTTTTATATGTAGGCTTATATCATGTTCACCATGTACGCTTTTGCTTGTTGAACTAAGGATTATAGGGTAGTAGTTTCAGAGATGGGCCGTAAGTCGCACAGAAGTCATCAAGTATTTTGGCTCGTGTATTCGTGCCCAGATCTAAAATAGTGTAAAATACAGTCTAGTTGTGCAGCGAGTTGCAATAAAGAAAAAGAGAGAATTTAATTACTCCAGTGAATATTTTGGAAGAGCTCACTGTTCATTAACACTGCTGCTACACCAAATGGGCTTATTAAGAATGATGTTGTTGAGTAAAGATGCTACATACTCAATTTACAACCTGAAGGAATGAATGGTATTGCGCACCACGGGATTGTACTGATTGGCGAATTTTTTAGTGAGGTAGAATATTTGAGGAAATAATGGATGACTTCTTTGTAAGAAGATATATTCAGGAGGTTATGGCACTATTACGAGATGACTGTACCATTCAGAAAGGAAGCAGCAAGAAGTAAGTTTTATTGTGCATAGCACTTACTTTTAACGGTGGTTTGAAGGCTTTCATAAGTCGGCTGCGTCGAAAACCGACGGGGTATATCCTTTTTTCCGTCTATAAGCAGGTTTTAAAGATTAGCAGTATATCATATATATATGAGATGTATTCACCTTATTTCGTTTAAGGTAATAAGGGGACTGGTAGTTGAGCGTTTTGTGACTGATAATATGAACGAATAAATCATCAGTGTACCATTCCACAATTCCCATTAATCAGTGATATACTTCCATCTATCTCAGTGTGACAGACATAGTAAGCGCATTAAAATACAAAGTAGGAAAATTTCACAAAACATTAACTCAGGAATGCTCGCCGGCTATGATCCTACATGCCAATTATAGTCTAGTCTTTCCTCTTTAATGTGCATCCCATCATTTGGTTGGTAATTTAAAGCTTAAGCTACACGTACACAAATGCATGAAGTTGTTGCGGGTGATATGTGAGCAGATATTTCCAAATGAAAATCACTTGCACTATGATTCTGTAATGTTAACGAAGGAGTTTGTATTTCTTTAAGTTTGTGTTGTATGTATGCAATGTTCACGATCCCCTTCCACTTGCCTGGCTACTCTCCCTGATCCATCTCCGAAATACTATCCAATAGCCATGACTAGTTCTTACTCGATTTCCCACATTCGTCCCTTTTATTCAGAATGTCAATGCATAACAGTAATTTAATGATAGTTGCTTCGAAAGCAAGCTTCTCTTCACACAACAGGAAGTTAAGCCTAACCTCTTCTTTGATAATGTCAAAGAAGGATCACCGCATAATTAAACATCATAAGTGAATGTAAACGTCAATCTATTAAGATTAATTGTCAATAATACTAGCTTCCAAAGCAGGAAAGAAAATATAAAATAAAGTTTTATCGTAAGTGAGTAGGTTTTCGAGACTACCAGTAATTCAGATAAATTAGTTAGGCTCATCCTATTTCGTTTAAGGTGATGAAGAACTTGTAGTTGATTTTTCCAACAATGATGTGATTAGAGTTGACGTTTCCATTGAATTTCACATAGACTTGCTTTCCCAAAAGGTGTTCCCATCCAGGATGGACTGCAGTTTCGAACTCGCATAGGTCTTATCAACACTTCAAGCGGGAGTCGAATCATGATAGTGCAGTATGTAAGCTCGAGCCGTTAAACATAGTTGGAGAATTATTTGCTGAATAAAACCAAGAAGTAACAGCGAGTTCCATTATTGAATATGACTATTTTTTAAGTTTATAAATAGGGTTTCGAGACTAGCAGTAAATCCCACCAAACAATGTGATATGGAAAAATGTCTGGCCTTCCTTGAAATTCACATCTGTACTTTGACCCAAAGGCATTCATGGAAATGTGGCGAAGCTCTTAAGGAGTCAAGATTATAAGCTGAACTGTCGTCGTTTGAGCCATGCTAGGGTTGTAGATGAAACAAAGGCGACGTCGAAACTACTGTTCTTATCCGCACGAATGAGAATACCGCAATTGAATAAAACTGTTAATTATACTAAAATCATTGTGGGAAAAATCAACTACCAGTCCTTCATCGCCTTAAACGAAATAGGATTAACATTTCTTATAGACCAGTTAGTGTCACTAGTTCAGTTAGGCGTTTACACATAGCGGCGCTATCGCCTCTTCACTAGTTTTAATCAACTGCTATTGCTAATTTTCCACAAATTCACGAAAGAACACATATATGAGATGCATTTGTCCTATTTTGTTTCAGGGTATAGGGGGACTGATAATAAAATTTTCCCAAAATCATATGAGTAGACCTTAAGTTTTCATTGAATTTCGCATAGCCTTGCTTTACCAAAGGGTATGCTCATCCAAAAGAGAAGGCAG